GAGGATGGATGGAAGGAAGCTGCGTGGTCTTGGTGATGAGGATGGGTAGAAGGAAGCTGCGTGCTCCTGGTGATGAGGATGGATAGAAGGAAGCTGCGTGCTCCTGGTGATGAGGATGGATAGAAGGAAGCTGCGTGCTCATGATGAGGATGCGGGAAGACGTATGTTGGCTTCAGGGGCTGCGTGCTCCTGATGATGAGGGTGGATGGAAAAGCAATGACGTCTTCTGACGCTCATGGAATGAGGAGGACACAGGAAGACAGCGGTGATCGCTGGTGGCTGTCTAGAAGGCATAACATCGTCTTACCGTCATAACTGTGCGACTCGGATGTGACATCTCCTGCCCATGTGCAACAAGTTCTGCTCCCATCTATGACAAATACGACATACGCATGTACGCTTTCCTATGACACTATTTGTCACAGGAAGATTCTTCCTATGATAAATATTGGCGAGTCAACTTCGTTCCTCTTTACAGCTCAAATTCACTGCTTGCGTTCATAATAGCACTCCTAAACTCCTATGATGCGCACAACACATACAACAATATTTAGCATAGGAAGAATCTTCCTATGACAAATAGTGTCATAGGAGAGCGTATATGCGTATGTCGTATTTGTCATAGGAAGAATCTTCCTATGACAAATAGTTTCATAGCAGAGCGTATATGCGTATGTCGTATTTGTCATAGATGCTAGCAGAACAGGCTGCCATGTGCAATGTAGAAAGGGGGCGTTTTGCTATAGGGTGGATGCTACAAGGGTTCCAACGTATACAAACACCGTCGGTTGCAGTCGGGTGCGATTATAGCAAGCGCGTAGACAGCTCCAAGTATTGATGATCATACAGCGGAACAACGCCGGCCTGTGATGATGGACTCGTAAAAACATTTTCGTTAACGATTCGCCTGTGCCTCGCGTTGCCACCCGTATATTAGCCGCAGAATTTAGTAGCGATTACGAACCCAGGCACGAGTAAATCCTCAGCTCCCTGCTTCCCCGGACAAGGGATGAAAGAGCAGCGTACGCGGGGGGAGGGGGGGATGCGGGGAAGCCCGATATAGGAGCGACGAGGCACCGGCGGCGGGAGAAGCAATTACACGACTTGTTCAGGCATCCGGGCAGAGAAATCGGAGAGTGGGGGAAGCAGCGAGAACGAGATATAGAGAGGGGGAGCGCGAAGAAGAGAGAGAGAGAGAGAGAGAGAGAGAGAGAGAGAACGACGGAGCGAGATAGGGAGAGAGAGAGA